CTAGTTTATTTTATTGTACCTAAAACCCATCATTTTTAACCCATGGATCCTATGTAAAATGAAAGGTCATGGGTATTAGGGTTTACATGGATGTAACCCTAATCCTCCATAATATATAAAGGGGTCCTTGGCTCACAAAATTAACACAAGTGTGTGAAAATAAGAGTGGGCCGATTTTAGTGTGCATACATATTCTCTCAAGTTCTTCCAAGGTGTTTTGGTGATTTGTGATTCCATTTGAGGCTTCCACACTATTGGGGCTAAGCTCTTAAAGCTTGAAGACATCAAGCCACATCAAAAGGTATGCCATCTAACTAGAACTTTGTAGTATAGGTGCTTCATAATATGCTAGTTAGGATGAAACCTTGGAATAGTTAATATTTGCATGTATAATAGAGAAAACATAGATGCAAGGTTTATAGGGTTGCATGTACACCACAAGAGTGTTAGAATGCTCAAAACCCAACACACTTAGGATTATGGCTCGACAAAGGAGACATATTTAGTGAGAAAGAGTACGATTATTTAAATCATTTATGTGACATGGATTAATTTGACACCTCATTAACATTTTCAACTGAAAATATAATGCACATATGCTTCTTCACCGGCTAAACCTTTTAAAAGGGTCATAGTGACATAATTGAAATGAACAATGTACCTTACATGGCTTATTGCAAAAAAAATCAAATTGGACCAAATATCTAACTTTATTGTATGCTATAGTGACATTCTCCTTTTGTTATTAATATGTAAATACTAAAAGTTTTGTGGCCAAACCATGAAAAATAAAATGTCCATTACCTGCTAAATTAGTAAGGTGCTGTTTGTTTCTCCGAAGTGAAACTGTCTGAAGTCTGCGGACCACCTCTGCAGCCCTCTGCAGCAGAAGAGGTGGACCAAAGTGCTGCAGAATGTAATGAGAAGCATGTTTGTTTTTTTAACGTCTGCAGACTACTGTAGATATTAAAAAATTTAAAATAAAGTAATTTAATAAACCGAAAATAGTTTGTTAATACCAAAAATTTAATAATTGTAGTCTTAAAACATTGAAATAAAATTCAAACAACGAAATTAGTCTTACAATAACATTTTTAAATAAAATTCATACAACCAAACTTTAATAATTTTCATTCCATATTTTGCATCAATTGTTCGGCAATTTCATCCCGTAATTGGCTCATATATTCACGGTCCGCTGCAGTACCATGTGTTGGAATCTCATCTTCATCATTATCAACGACTGCATTGTTATTCCGAACCGAGACATTTGGTTCATCATATCGTGCAAAAAAACTCATCACGTAGTCCCTCTCTTCTTATAAAATTATGAAGCGCAAAACATGCTAAGGTAATGTTTCGTTGTGTAACCAACGAGAATGGTGCCATCCTCTTCAATATAGGGAATCGTGCTTTCAAGACACCAAAAGCACGCTCAATGACATTCCGAAGTTTTGCGTGTCCATGGTTAAATTTTTCTTTATTCGTTAATGCACGTCTTCGACGGAAATCTCCAAGCCAATACCTAACATTACGGTACGGTGCCATAAAACCTCGAATGTTTGCATAGGCGGCATCACAAAGATAATATTTATCTGTAAAAAAAAACAAAAAAAAAGTCATTTATTTTTCAAATAAAGATAAAACTATTTAAATAACCATAAATTTACCTGGAGGTGGAAGCGGGAATGGTGCATGTGGATTTGCTAATGCTTCTGATAATATTCTAGAATCGTGTGCTATCCCTTCCCAACCGGCAACAACAAACGTAAACATCATGTTGAAGTCACATATTGCCAATACGTTTTTGTAACAATCGCCTTTTCCCCTACTTCTATATAAATCCCGTTTGTTTGCAGGGACAACAACATGTATCAAAGTGCCATCAAGTGCACCAACTGCTCCCTTGAACACCCGCCGTAGCCTCCTATTATGTCCCGGAATGTTTGGATTCGGATTAAAAGAAGTTGGTACTATAATGTCATGTGCGAAAAGCAACATTTTGTCCAACACTTCATGAAAAAACTTATGAATTGTTTGCTTTGAGTGTTGAAATCTCCGCTTGATAATCACATAACGTTGGTTATGACCGATCATTATAAAAAACATAGCCATCTTCTCCTCAACCGACACATGTTTGATATCCTTTAAAGCGTAGTTTACTCTAAAATGAGCATATAGCCGGACAAATGATTCACGGGACATGCGTAGCACTTCAAGACATTGTAGAGGATTACGGTGAAGTAACTCTAACATAAATTCATGTCCCGTCATTTCCGAATCGTTGTCCCGCACTCGTTTGACACCCCTCTTCCAAAAGTAGCGGACGTACAAGTACATAAGAATTATGAGTAGTATCTTTTTGTCGTGATCCATTACAAACCTATTAATCAAGAAAACATATAATAACATAAGATAATAATATAACATAAGATAATAACATAAGATAATAATAATAACATAAGATAATCATATAACATAAGATAATAACATAAATCTCAAGTACCAAAAAAAACATACAATAAATTTCAAGTACCAAAAAACATATCATAAATCCCAAGTAGCAAATAACCAAATAACATTCAAGTACCAAATACTACAAATAACATTCAAGTAGCAAATAACCAAATAACATTCAAGTACCAAATACTACAAATAACATTCAAGTAGCAAATAACCATATAGTTCCAAAACATGCAATTAAAACCTAAACAACTCAAACATATAAACTTAACTAACAATCTTTCCATCCTTTAAAACTCCTAAACTTGTAGCTGTCATCTCGATCCATCCTCTTAATATTTGTGGATCATCTCTAATATTCATGGTCCCTCCAAAAATGTGATACGCAGCAAATCGTAGAGGGTCTACTGGGTCTAACTCGAGCAACTCAAGCTTCTCTAAACACTGGGGAATTGTTGGCCCTTGAGTCAAATGACGTAGAGCTTTTTGCATCTCCAGTGCTAAATCATCAGCAGTAATAGAAGCTTTAGGCGATGCACAAGAAGGTGGATCAGGTGAGGCACTAGGAGCTCGAGGTATAGGAGTTGAGGGTTTAGCCCTTTTGCTGGGGTTACCAGAAGGTGAAGCAGCAGAAGGTGAATCAGTAGAAGGTGAAGCAGCAGAAGGTAGAGGCTGAGTAAAATGTTCACTAGTATGATTGGAAAATAAATCATCCTCATCTATGTTAATGGAAGGGGCGTCCAAAAGCTGTAGTGGTGCGCCATGGAAAGAAGATGATCCATGTCCCGATGGTGTTTGGGATGTGGCATAGCTGAGATTACCAGATGCACTGTTTCCATCAAAGAGTTCTGCACAAAGCTCTGGAAACAATAATGGGACGGTTTTCAAAGAAGCGACTTTCGGATGTCCCTAAACGCAATCAATGTAACAAAAGTAAATAAATGGCAACTATATAAACAAAATACATATAAATATGTGTGTGTGTATATATATGTATACCTTTTTAAAGTCCTCCCACTCCTCATTTGTTAAGTTAAAAGTATTTGTTTGTGGATTGTAAAGGTTTCCAGTTTTGTTTTTTTTAAGTGTAACCATCCTGTGTATTTGGCTTTAAGGTTATCATAGGCGTTTTTTAATTGTCGTTGATTCAAATCCACGCCATACTTTTCCTTAATAGTTGTTCCTAACTTGTGTCATGATTGTTTGTGCAAACTCAAACCTTTTCTACCCACTGTTTGCACTTCTTCAATACAAGTTTGCAATAAGCATTTTGTTTGCTCATTGGTCCATGTATGTTTATCTCCCATTGCTAATAACAAAAAAAAATATAGAATACATACTTTAGCTACAAAGATTAATCATATTTCAACATAATCAGCAAATAAGTTTAGCATATTCAACAACAATACATCATGAATGAACAAAAAAAACCATATAAGCAAAGATTATACGACACAATCAACAAATAAGTTTAACAATTTAAGCACAAACTTGCATATAAACATAAACTTGATCTCCATTCAAGAAATACAAGTGATAACAATTCAATAATTAAGTTAAAAAAAACCATTTCAGCAAAGAGGTGGACCAATTCAACAAAGATTTATGATTTCAACATGTAAACTTGCATATAAGTTTATGATTTCAGCATAAATCAACATTCAACATTCAACAAATATAAATTTCAGCAGAAAATCTGTTTAAAGAACAATTATATCATAAATTTTACATTCAACAAAGATTTTAACAAAGGTTGTAACATCTCAGCAGCAAAATCCTAACTCAAATAAAAACAAATGGTACTCAAATTCATACAATTGGTACTCAAATGCATAAGAAATCAGAAAATTGATACTCAAATTCATACAATAGGTACTCAAATGCATAAGAAATCAGAAAAAAAAAACTTACCTGATCTTGAAACCGAGGGCAGCAAGAAATCAGAAATTTGGTACTCAAATTCATACAATCGGTACTCAAATGCATAAGAAATCAGAAAATTGGTACGCAAATTCATACAATCGGTACTCAAATCAATAAGAAATCAGAAAAAAAAGTTACTTGTTGAAGCTCGAGGGCAGCAAGATGGCAGCAGCAAGCAGCAGCGGCGACCGGCGATTGAGGGGAACGGCGATCGGCGATGGGGTGGCAGCGGAGGCTGGAGTCAGACCACCTCTGGATCGATCGTTGGGAAGGATGTTGAGAAGAAGAAGGAGAACGAACGAGATGAGCAACGGCGTTTTTTTTGTTTAGGGCATAGGGTGTTTTTTTAGATGAGGTTAGAAGTGGTTAGAAGAGTTAAGTCCACTGCTGTGTGGGGAAGAGGACGGGAAGAGGTTTTTGAGCCCGAAGTCTGCAGAAAAACAAATTGCTGCGAACCTAAAAATGCTGCGCGTGTGCTGGAAGAGCTTTGTTTTTTAAAAACAAACACAACCTAAATTACTCCACAAGAAATCGTTCCTCTTCTTGCTTCTTGTCTTGTTAATATGTAAATACTAAAAGTTTCGTGGCCAAACCGTGAAAAATAAAATGTCTGTTACCTGCTAAATTACTCCACAAGAAATCGTTCCTCTTCTTGCCTCCCCCCACCGTCTTCGCTGTTCCATTTTCGGCAGTAGCCTCTTTCGTCCGTCCCTGCCACAACCACCGCCTCAGCCGCCGACACCGGTATCGCCACTGCCACCGCAACAATGGAATCGACCATGCTCATTGAATGTAAAACACCACCGACTCGCCCCAATGCCTCCACCACCATGGACTCGCCCCTCTTCGACAACGAAGACGACCTCTACACTCGCTTAAAGTCATTAGAGCGTCAAATCGAGTTTATTGAAATCCAAGAAGAGTACGTCAAAGACGAACAAAAGAATCTCAAGCGCGAACTCCTTAGGTCTCAAGAAGAAGTGAAGCGGATCCAATCGGTTCCGCTTGTGATTGGTCAGTTCATGGAGATGATCGATCAAAATAACGGTATCGTAGGGTCAACTACAGGATCTAATTACTATGTTAGGATTCTTAGTACGATTAATCGCGAGCAATTGAAACCCTCGGCGTCCGTTGCTTTGCACCGTCACTCAAATGCGCTTGTTGACGTGTTGCCACCTGAGGCTGACTCTAGTATATCTCTGCTTAGCCAGTCGGAGAAACCTGACGTCACCTATAGTGTGAGTATATTGTCATAGAAGTCTTGATTTTTGAAGTGTGCTAATAGGGTTTTGATGAATTAATTATGCTAGCATCTTAAAGTCCAAAATCCATTTGTATTAATCATGTTTTAGTATATTGCTGTCATAAGTTGGATGCTAATATGATAGTAGTTAGTAGATAGAATGTTATAGTTATAATTGTATATGCTCAAAGTCATGATTGTAAGTTTATCCGTTGATGATTGGCAAGTCATGGATTATTAGATTTTATAACCGGGTGGGTGTAGTTTGCTTCACAAGAAGGATGCAAAAGTTAGAGGTAGTTAGCTTATGAGCAAATTTCTTTCTGCATCATTCATATCATATAATATTTCACATCCGTAGAGTTTGTCTCTACTATTACACTGTGGACCCTTTCTTTATAGAGCTGTAAATCATGCTATTTGTTTTGCATCTGTGCTATTGTTATTATCAACTCTGATTACAAAGAGATTGTCTTTCTTTCACCATATGCTATATGCATTACGGAGATCAGTTTGTTCTATAATTTGATTTTTACCTTGGTTGCGTAAATTGCTAGGATATTGGAGGTTGTGACATTCAAAAGCAGGAAATACGTGAGGCTGTGGAGTTGCCTTTGACTCATCATGAATTGTACAAGCAAATAGGCATAGATCCTCCTCGTGGTGTTTTGTTATATGGTCCACCTGGCACTGGTAAAACCATGCTTGCCAAAGCTGTTGCAAATCATACCACAGCAGCCTTTATTCGAGTAGTTGGTTCAGAATTTGTTCAGAAGTATTTGGGTGAGGTATGCTTTTAGTCTGCCTCTTTTTTATAAGAGACATGTTGTTTCTTTTTGACTTAATGAGGACTTGACCTAATCCTGGTAAGCTAGTTACGTGTGTTTCTTTTTGTTTTAATGAAGAAATGAAATGAAAGGGCTATATATGGGTGTTTTTTTTTTTTTGTCATAAGTAATACCTAATAGGAATAATTCAAGGACTCAAGAAATAGCAACACACTTTCTTTTGTTTGTGTATTATAGCATCTTACTTCTTCTTCTTTCTATTACAACATTGTACTTTCACCTTTCTTGTTTAGGCACCGTGCTTTGAAAATCTACCCAATTATAACATTGTATTTCCAGTCTTTTTTTATTAAGACATTATACTTTAAAAAATCTACCAACTTATTGCAGTTAAGATCGCCTTGTAATGTATGACATTGCTAATATTGGTTAGATTTTTTGAAGTAAAATGTTGTAATAGGAAGAAATAAAAGTAGGGTGCTATAAAAAATAAAAAATAATCATAGTATGTTGCTATTTCTTGCACTCTGTGATACCTTGATTCTGCAGGTGCCGTCATCTATCTTTCCCAGTATGTGGCAGTTCGTATACAAACTAAAACAAATTATTTTCATTACATCATAGTTTAATACCACAAAATTTTGTAAACTAAAATTCATAAAGTTCTATCTCCATAATTTATAACACAACGAAGAATATGTTGATAGTTGATTAGATTAGTATATAATTCATGTTGTTCTACGATGTAGCATAAACATTTAAATCAAATATATTGCAAGAATAAAAACTAATGCATTCTTTCTTTTTTGTAAACATCCACCATGCACAATTTTTTTTTTTTTTGAAATCTCATAACTACTTATAAGTAGGCCAACCTTAGGATTCATATAAGTCTGTCTCTGTCCCATAAGGTGTGCTTACAAGACGTTCCTTCAGTCCATGTCCTGTATGTTGCATATTTAAATTGCCATACTTGACATGTATAAAACTTTCATATAGCATGTGTGATGTGTAAAGTAAATGACTACATGCTAATACCATATTATGCCAATGCCGTAACATATGTCTTTGCTATTTGATTGTATTGTGATTTTGTGCAAAGAAGCATGACAATTTGTTTATGATAAATTTATCTTCATGCATATAACATTTATATATCATGGGCATGGGATGTACCAAGTAAATCACATAACATATTACATACTCACCTTGGTGTAGAACTCCTAAGCTTCTTCTTAATCTTCTTGATTTGCTAGTAATCTTTTGAGGGTGTTTAATTTGACTTTGGAATGGAGAATAAAACTACTAAAATTCACTTGGTATTTATAGGTAGTTTGTTTGCATTGCTTTCCTTGTTTCTTATGGTATCCATGACCATGGGATGTGAGTGACTATGACACCTCATGCTTCTAGTTTAGCTTATCCTTTAAGAATCAATGCTTGTAGCCTTACTTTGTCATTTTCTATCATTCATTCACCAGTACTAAGTACCAACTATTATTAAGCCTTGATTTGTTAATATATGCTATGATTGTGTTGTGGTATACTAATTAATTAGTTATGGTTGTTGTTGTTGTAGGGTCCTAGAATGGTTCGTGATGTGTTTCGGCTTGCGAAAGAGAATGCCCCTGCTATCATATTTATCGATGAGGTGGACGCAATTGCTACCGCCAGATTTGATGCTCAGACTGGAGCCGACAGAGAAGTGCAGCGAATTCTCATGGAACTTCTAAATCAGGTAACCTATGACTATGACTGTTTATTTTGGACATAATAAATATATATATTAAAGGCCAGGGAAAGATGATTAATGATTTATTTATGAGTGGGTGCAGATGGATGGGTTTGACCAAACGGTGAATGTGAAGGTTATTATGGCAACTAACAGAGCCGATACATTAGACCCTGCACTTCTTCGTCCTGGTAGGCTTGACCGCAAGATTGAGTTTCCTTTGCCTGATAGGCGACAAAAACGCCTCGTTTTTCAGGTCTAACCCCACCCCCACTTTGTTTTTTTTTTTTTTTTTCTAATTTATCATTATTTGTCTGTTTACTTGAGATAATAAAAAATGTAATAAATACGTAGGTTTGCACGGCTAAAATGAACTTGAGTGATGAAGTTGACTTGGAAGATTATGTTTCTCGCCCTGACAAGATTAGTGCTGCTGAGGTAACACTACTAGTAATAAGCAATAAGTTGTTCTTTAATTCTGCAAAAATGCTCTTCTCATCCTCATCCTGGTTTTGTACAGATTACGGCTATTTGTCAAGAAGCAGGGATGCATGCAGTCCGCAAGAACAGATATGTTATTCTTCCCAAGGACTTCGAGAAGGGTTACAGAACCAATGTAAAGAAGCCTGACACTGACTTTGATTTCTACAAGTAATCCCATACTTTCTGTCACTGCCCCTTTACCTTTGCTGCTTCTTATTCATGCATGTTCAACGAATCTCTAATTTGGCTTCAAATCAATATTCTTATTGTTTGTGTTACCTAATTACCTTATATTTTGCTTTCATGAAAATCTGTTATGAGTTCAAGTGGCTGAATGGGTAATGAATTGTTATATACATATAAGCTTTGTTTTTATTTTTTATTTTTTCTACACTAAAATAAACATTTTACCTTAAATTGCAACAAAACAAATTTCACAATATTCATCGATTATAACCTCGATTATAACCTGAGAAGAAAAAGAAGAAAGACAAATAGCTCAAGGGTTATTGTCAATAAATTAAGCCATAATTTTTGGCTTAACCTAATAACTCATTTTGTTCATATTTAATTAAAAAATATCAATGTATAATTGTCTGTCTAGATTAAGTGTTTAACCCGTTAAATTGAAAAGAAACAGTCCATTAGATATCAAACTTCTTTCTTTTTGGGTTTGTGAATAATATATAAGGGCCTAAGGGGTGGTTAACACACACAGATCAAGTATAAATATTGCAATTTCGACCCATTTATTTATGAAAAAATTGATTTGGTTTATGTTTCTGTTAAACATATCAAATGTTTTAAATAAAAAAGAAGTAGCTAAAAAGGAAGTCGAAAATAGTAACGGTACAAATTCCGAAGTGTACTCTTTCTACATATTTTCCTAATTATTCTATTAAATAAGTGGATTATTGTTGCGATTGTACATTTTTTTAACGACAAACTCTTATTAAAAGGACTAGCAAAAAGCTAGCCAAAACCAACAAATCAAGAAATACCAAGTTTTGGGTCTTGAAGCTGCCTTAACTCAATTTAAAGTTTTTTTTATTGATATCATTACAATTTACACCATAAAAAAAGGCCGAGTAACAATCTTATAAAAGATGCCCGCAACTTTCGGTTTGTTAAAATCAAACAACTGAATATTCTTGAAAATCCAAATATGACACCCTCAAAATAATTCTTCACTACTTTGACGCTGAGTAGAGAACCATGTCAACCAATCAACATATGAAAGGAGAGTGGGTATCGTCAAGCTACCACCTCACCACTTGAACTAAAACCGCAGAAGCCATATGACAATAGAAAAACAAATGCCTAGTCGTCAGTGTCCTCCCGACACTCCCATCACAAAGAGGGCACAAATTAGAGGGAACGTCCATACCACGACTATCAAGATTGGCTTTAGCTGGGAGCCCTATCTATCCAAAGCCTGACACCAAACAAAAATATCAACATTGATAGGGACTAGCCGGATCCATCCAGCAGGAGAACAACTCAAAAGTAACCACTTTTCATCCGTATAGTCACGCACATAAGCCACTAGAAAAATCGCCAACCCGAGATACAGACCAAAACCACGGGGGTAACCGGCACCACAAGAGCCTGTAGAGCATCCCATCGTTACCATTAATTGCTTCTATATTTTAAAATAAAGATTTAGACAAAAGTTCCTGGTCAATTCGACTTAACCCAACTTAATAAAATTATTGATTTTGAAGTTTGTATTTGTTTTTTTCCCTTCTATTGGAGATATAGCTATTAGCTTAAAAACTGTGGGTAAGTTGCACTTGGTGAAAGTGAAAACGATCAACTTTTCAAAGAGACATGTCTTTTTTTTTTTTTTTTTCTACAGTTCCTTGAAAATAATTCTTTATCTGAATAAGATGCAAATACGATGCTAAAAAAAGTATTGTATTAATTGGTCTACTGAAACACAACCATGTCAGATTTAGTTGCCGCTTCCAAATTTAGCAAAGTGAAGGGAGGGCCACAATTGATTCTCACATTGTTCTAAAGGCTAATTTCTTATTTTTGCTAGCAAGTTGTAAATGTTTACTAAATTATGTAATGAAATGGGTTTCATATAACTTATGTTTTGATTCGTTATCAAAATTTTACCAGTTTATAACATATTTGGTTTTTCCCAGCTTATGCATATGCATGCATAGATGAAATGTTGGTAACAAATTAAGATATTGTTGCTTAAAGTAATAAAAAAAATCTATTTTGTTGTATGATTTGATAAAAATATTTACACTTTGCATGAGGTTAAAACTGGGATAATCCATGAAACCACTCTCGATATTCAGGCAAAAATAGAAGAGACAAACATAGGGTACTTGTTCTATGTTTTTAGAGATTTTTTTTTTGCAAAAAAAACATAAGGGAAAAATTGATCTTCACAAACGGATATCCCCGGTAAACTATGGATACACCAGGCCCTCGTGTCCTTGAGATCAAATCAACTTATGCCAGCGTGTAATTCACACAATATAGCATAAACCGAGTGCAACATGTCTCTAATTAATCATGATCACACTAAACTGCTCGATGAAACTAAAATCAAAAACATTAACCTGTTTGTTTGAGAATCCGTAACTCATATTCAAGTATGTGTATCATTTTATTCGCCCATTAGTGTTTAGCAATTAGTCAGTGTTAATACCTAATACAAAAGTCAAAAGTCACATCAAAGGCTTCTTCGCATAATAGCACTAGCACTCAACTTGTGAACCACCTGCAAGTCCTCCGACACCTAACCGAGTTTGAAAAATGTACTTGTACTTGTTGAATCAGAAATTAAATCACAAAATCCGTGATACTGAAGGAGAAATTAATACAGTCGTCCACTGGATTTAATGCCAACTACTTCTTCTGTACCCACCTCCTCCCCAGTCTCAACTCTCAATGGATTACAGATAAGTAGATAGCACAAGTTCTGACAGTTTTTGCCATTGGCATGGGGCTCAGGGGCGGAGTCAAATTTTTTTTTAGGGTGTTATATATATATATATATATATATATATATATATATATATATATATATATATATATATATATAGGGCCGGCCCAAAATGTTAATGGGCTTGGGTTATGAACTTATAATCTATAATCTGATGATCGAGTCGATTCTATGATTGTAAGTTCATTTTATACCGGACCAGACCGGAATAGGATTATATACATTTTCATTGTGAGAAGGGGTCATTTGAGCGTTGATTTTGAAGGTGTAAAATAACCCCTTAAATACAATTTTTTATATATAAGTAAATTAAATCTGAAAAAGAAAAACTAAAAAATAAATAAACTTATCTAAGAATGGAATTGTGCAAATTTATAAAATTTAAGGTATGAAATATGTAAATTTTAAAAACTAACTTATTATAGAAATTGAATTTCTAAATATGAGGAGCTAACTTTAAAAATGAATTATTTAAAAAAAACATGCCAAAATGTAAAGCCATGGAATGGATCCCATAGTCTTTAAGGATTTGATATTATGTGCCTTGCCAACTCAACTACATATGTTTTCTGAATTACTTACACCCAAATATTATTTTATTTTGAAATACAAAAAAAAAAATTGAAAATTTGAGGGTGGGCCTGGGCCTACCCTGGTTCTAGGGTGGCTCCGCCCTTGGCTCCAGTACTGTAAGTTCTCATTCATCTGATCTGACACCATTCCACAAAATCTCAACATTTAAATTTAACCAACATTTAATCGTTAATCATGATTTGTGATCGTGTTTACTCTTACCTTTTACCAAAGAGATGGTGAGTTTGTTTACTGTTTAGAGTTTAGTTGAGCGTGTTCTTGTAGGTTGCCTTGCACACCAATTGTTTGACGAAATGTCAAGTTGCTATGAGAATTAACATAAAGATCAATTTCTTAAATATTTATTGTTATGAAAAAACATGTTTTGAGATCTCAATTTTCTAAAAATATTTTGTTTAGCTGCAAGAAAATTTGAGTTCCTCAATATATAGTAGTAAGTGTTTTGTAATAATCAAATCAATTTGTTTTATGGAATCATGTAAACAAATCATTGAAAATAATTATATTACATTATATTGATGACATGCACAGTTTAGAATTTACAATCAATCGTTAGGATGGCATAACAATAATTTGAAAATTATGTATACATGTCCGGGGGAGCCTACTTTAAGTGGGAATACCCTATAAAAAGATGTGATCCCAAAAATCTCTTTAAAAAATGGAAAAAGTATTTGATGTTTTTTTTTCAATGTAAAGTTTTTTCAAATATATTGTTAATTAAGAAGGTATTTTCTTGAGCTTTTCAATAATATGGTGGATCCCATTGATTTTCAATCAACTTCCAATAGGTAAATATACGAAAAAACGTAAATAATCAAATTGAAAAAGCTTTTCTTGGGATACATTGAATTTTTTTTTTATTCTAAGTTTTTTCATAAAAAACTAAAGAAAAACTCTCCTCTTATAGATGTTCTAAAATTGATTTTATATTACAGACCATTAAGAGAACCTCCATTAAGATGTTCAAAGATAGTTTATATTTTCATGAAAAAACATATTTAGTTTGCTCAACAATTAAGTCCACATCAACTTAGTAGTAATTTATTATTTTTTATTTGAATAAAATTGATATTTTGAGTTTCGTTCATTTATTCGTAAAAATCATGATGATCAACCACGTCAAATTCTTTAAAAGGAATCTGACAGTGATATTTGTCTATAATCAATGATGATGTTCAAGATTCAATCTGATGTGATGAGTTGACTTAATACTATCCATTTATTTAGCACAAAACTTACTAATAAGACATAAGAATATGATTGAAAATTGCACACAATTGCACGTCCAATAAAAAACTAAATTTAGGGGTGATATTTCGCAAAATAAAATACATGGCTATACTAAACAATTATTAATTATTATTTAACTCAACATAATTTACTCTTAAGCAAATCAAACTAATAGAATTTTTTTTAGTTTTGGTCTATATCACACTTTTTTTTTTCCGAAAGGGTGAAATGTAATTACATAAGCGAGTAATGTCCAATCTGAAAACTAAGAAATCGCAAAATGGGTTTAAGTTTAAACTTTAATGCTAGATAAATCATATGTGGAAAAATATTTAAACAACAAGTTGTATCTTTTGCATCAAAATCTGTACAACTATCACAACATTACTCCTTCAAAGGCCTGGCCTTAATTATAGTTAAAAACCCCGCTCAAAAAGGGATCATACTCATTACTAGGAGCTGTCGAGTGACTCTCTCTCACACACACATCACATAAAAACTGTGTGTTCTTCGCTGCGCTCGAAAATTTCACTCGATTTCTTCTGAAATTCAGAATTCAAATTGAATTCCTGTTCGTCCATACAAATTCATCTGAAAAGAGAGGAAAAAACGATAGCGGATTGAAGGCGAGAGCTTTTCAGCTGAGTGATTTCCGTTTTTCTCTCCGATTAAGATTTATTATTGTTTCGTTTCTTCGTGAAGAAAATTCGGCCGGAGAATTTTGAAGAAAATTTTAATTAGTTTGAAGCTGTTGATGACGCAGCCGAAGCTACAACGGAAAATGTTGTGGTAGTTTTCGAAGGACGAAGGTGCGGGTAATGTAGTTTTTTTTCGATGGAAGTTCATTTACTTCTTGCATTTTATATGTTAGGTTGAAAGGTATGTGGCGATTTTATGAGGTGAAATATTCATTTACTGAATGCAATTTACAATTTAGGTATGTTAAGTTATAGCAAGTTTGTGATTTTGTTTGACGATAAATTCATTTACTTATATGCAATATATTTTAGCTATATCGGGTAACAACTAAGCAAATTGACAGTTTAAGATATCCAAGTTGATTCGTCTTATTGCCAATTGGTTTCAAAATAGAAGTGCAAATAATTACATGATATGAATCTATCGTCCTAAAAGCAATTGCTTGCGACTCAACGTTTAGGTCTGGCTAATTCTGGATGTAGCGAGGCTACACAGGATATGATCCACCAGTTGAATCTGCACATCTGTCTTACTATCTGGATGCTTTTAGCTTAAAATTTGGTATTTGTTGTGTTCATTTACTGTTCTAGTTGGGACCGAGTTGAATAGAGGGGAAAGTTCGTAGCTGAAAGTTAAGGAGTCATACGTTAGAGCAATTAATCACGATGGCGTGAGTGGTTGTGTAAACTTGCACTTATAAGAGGAATATTGTTGGAGAAGTAGTAGTTGGGGTTTTGGTTCTTGAGTATTTATGAATCTTTCCTTGTACAGAATCAGGTAAATTGTAGCTATGGTGATATAGAGAGTATGTGTTTATTGGCCACTGACAAGGTTAATTGAGTCCGCAAAGTAAGTTGAACTAGTAAAAGAATGTGGCACTCTTAGCATTGTATGTTTAGAGATGCTTTCTGTTGTGCGCTACCTTATTTGTTTTCTGACAATGTATTTGTTTTTCAATTTAGTTAATATGTAAGGCTTGATATGCAGATCTTCTAAATTTTTTTCTGTTGTTTATTCGAACCAGGGAAATCATCCAACATAAATCATCAACCATCAAAGTCGTATATGTGAACATTTATTTCCTCATGAAACTCTGCTCTCCTCACCTGCTTCAATCCATCCTCATCATACTTTCCCTTGTATCTCCACTGTTTGCTGACTTAAACTCAGATAAACAAGCTCTTCTTGCATTTGCTGAAGCAGCACCCCATGCCCCAAAGCTCAACTGGAGCAACACTACTCAGATTTGCACTTCTTGGATAGGCATCACCTGTGATTCCAATGGGACCCGTGTTTCCGCTCTTCGACTTCCTAGCCTTGGACTCACGGGCCCCATTCCTTCCAACACTCTTGGAAAACTGGAAGCTTTGGAAGTTCTCAGCCTCAGATTGAATAGCCTCACTGGAAGTATACCTTCTGATGTCCTCTCTCTTCCTTCCCTCCATCATCTCTTCCTTCAACATAACAACTTCGCAGGTAACATTCCGGCTTCATTTCCTTCCCACATGAATGTATTAGACCTCTCTTTCAATTCCTTCACCGGAAAAATCCCGGAATCTCTCCAGAATTTGGCACGCCTAACCAAATTAAACCTCCAAAATAACTCCCTCTCTGGTTCTATCCCCAATATCACATTCTCAAAGCTCAAAAATCTCAACATAAGCTACAATCATCTCAATGGTTCTATTCCATCATCCCTCAAGACTTTCCCAAATTCATCATATATTGGGAACTCTTTCCTGTGTGGACTACCTCTGAATCCCTGTTCACCTCCACTGCCACCTCCGCCTGCTCATACACCACCACCACCTACAGGCGGTCGTCAGGAAAAAAGCTCAAAGAAGTTTCCTTTATGGGCTGTTATTGCCATAGCGTTTGGAGGAGGTGTTGCAGTTATACTTTTGATGATCATTTTATATTTCTGCTGTTTCAAGAAAAAGAAAAGGAATATGAATGAGAATGGGAATGGGAATGGGAATGTGAGCAGTGTACGAAGAGCAAAGTCTTCTTCTGTTGGTGGAAGGAGTGAGAAGCCTAGGGAAGAATTTGGTAGTGAAGTACAAGAGGCTGAAAATAACAAGATGGTTTTCTTTGAAGGCTGTTCTAGTAATTTTGATCTTGAGGATTTATTGTGTGCTTCTGCTGAGGTTCTTGGAAAGGGTAGTTTTGGAACAACATATAAGGCAACTTTAGAGGAGTCGGTAACCGTGGTTGTGAAAAGGCTGAAAGATGTGGTGGCAGGGAAGAAAGAGTTTGAACAGCAAATGGAGATGATAGGGAGAGTTGAACCGCATCCGAATGTTGTCCCACTTCGTGCTTATTATTACTCCAAGGATGAGAAGCTACTTGTCTATGATTATCTCTCAAGTGGTAGCCTGTTGACACTCTTACATGGTATGCTACTTTCATCTCATGTTTCTTTTTCTTACATTAACTGCTGTTTAGATAAAATGTTGTCTATATTCCAGCATACACTACCTTAAGACTAGTCCTGTTATATGCTACTTAAAAATTTGAATGACATGGCAGGAAACAGAGGAGGCGGTAGAACTCCAATAGACTGGGAAACAAGAGTAAAAGTGACACTCGGAGCTGCACGAGGCCTTGCACATATCCACGCTATCGGCGGCCCAAAATTCGTTCACGGAAACATAAAATCGTCAAATGTCCTAATTACCCCCGACGGAGAAGGCTGCATCTCGGACACCGGTTTATCCCCACTCATAAAGCAACACCCACCCACCACATCCCGCCACACCATCGGCTACAAAGCTCCTGAAGTCCTGGAAATCCGAAAACACTCCCATAAATCTGATGTCTACAGCTTCGGCGTCCTCCTCCTCGAGACACTCACTGGAAAACAACCACTCCAATCTCCGGGAAGAGTAGGAGGAGAAGACATGGTGGATCTCCCAAAGTGGGTCCAGTCTGTGGTGAGGGAAGAATGGACTGCTGAGGTGTTTGATGTCGAGCTTATGAAATTTCAAAACATCGAGGAAGAGATGGTGCAGATGTTGCAGATCGGTATGGCTTGTGTTGTGCAAACCCCGGATTCCCGACCCTCCATGGATGAAGTTGTTAAAATGATTGAAGAGGTTCGTGTATCTAATTAATTAAAGACATCACCGATTGTGATTTGTGCAGACACCTTACCTTCGTTTCTGTAAGTTTACATGCATGAGCTTGATTCAAAATTTTACCAAAATTATGTTTCATCTTTTCGTTTTTAGGAGTGGAGAGCATTAGTCATTAGATTAGCTTTTCTTTCTCTTCATTTGTTGAAAGATTACATTTTTTAAGTTGATTAATCATTAATCGTCTAGTTGGATTGGGTATTGGGTTAGCCTGCTATCACTTTACTGTTCTTTTCTTTTTATTTAGATAATTAACATATTAAATGTGATTATAAAATATCAGTTGTTGCCTGTTGGTTCTACCTGAAATGCATTGAGGCATCACCAATATTTGACTTTTAAAAAATCTATGTACGTTAACCTATTTATTTGAATTATAATGACATCACATGACAAGTTAGTTAAATATAGTGTAATGTTATATCATCGTGTTCACATAGGATAAGCATTTGTGTAATATAATGGTGACATAGAAAAATATATATATTTTATAAAACACTTCAAATCTTAAAATTCTTTCTGCCAATGGCTTTTGTGTTGGGTCTTTTGACTGTGATTTCCAAGAATTTCATCAAAGAGCTAACCTCATGCTTGATTTTATAAAGGAATAACTAACTCATCATCTCTTGCAAAACACTTACAAATACCGATGTTATAATTGATGAAGAAAAGATGTCTGCAAAATGTTGGTGATGTGCGTGGGAACGAAGGGACATACTTCGCCAAATTAGAACCTAAGTAAGGAAATAGACAAATATTGACTTAAGATTGGATAACATTATTGCATGATGTTAAAAGTTCAAAAATGGACAAAAGGGTAAAAAATGTCAAAGAATGTTGATAACCCCTAATTATGTATTACTGATTTTTAGGCAGAATGCAATAGGGTCTAAGCTAGTAACTAAATTGGTATATTCTTGTAATTAGAAGCAAAGTCCTTTTTGGATTGCCCTCATGACCATGAATAGCTAGAAATGATATTAGGAGAGAGAAATATAATTTATTAAATTATTATAGGATTAATAAACTAATTGGAAATTATGGAACAATGATTTGTTAATATATTATGTGATTAATATATTAAATGAAAATAGACAGTTGATTTGTTAATTTATTATGTGGTTAATAAATTAATATGAGACCAATTGTTAAATAATTGATTTGTTAATTTATATGGTTAATAAATTAATAAGAAATCAATTAGAACTGATTAATTATTAATCAAAATTAATCTGAAATTAATTAGAATTAATTAAAGGTGCAAGTGGTGAAATATAATTGTTCAATAGTTGAACAAAATAAGCAATTTTAAAACCTTCCATGTTATGTGTAACGCCCGCGTTTCTGCTAAACATTATTATGATGATGTAATAGTTAGGATCAATAATTGTAACCTATTTTGAAATAATGAAGAAAAATTATTTGAGTATTATATGATTTATGTGATTTATGTGCAACATATATGCTTATAACGATATAATAAAATAATAATGAAAATATGCGTCAAAAATAAAATAATAATTAGACCCAATATCTTTGAAGAAAGTTAAAGTAGTCGTAACATGGATTTCGGAGATATAAGGAACGCTGAAATCCGACTTATAACGAATAAGTTATGACTTGTCGAAGTTTTGCGACTAAATCGGCACAACGTCGCGTATCGTAAAAAGTGATTTTTTGATAAACTACTTTTTAGCCTTAGCAATCTAAACAAAAGTCGTAGTATACGTTAAACCGAAAACGTACATAAAAAGAACGTCTAAATCTGAATTCGTTAGAGGAAGTTATAATTTTTCTAAGATTTAGCATTACAGTACACAGTCCAGAATTTTAGACCAATCGATTATTAGCCGACACAACCTAAACGATAATTGAAGATCTCCTTAATAGGAGCTCAACGATATAAAGACAGTTAAAAACGGACGTCAAATGACAAAGTTATAAATTTTTAACGGACTTTAACTGTCTTAGTCTGTTAAAATATAATTTTAAAAATATAGTCAAAATTAAAGCTGACAAAAATCAACCCAACCCGCCAACCCAACCCAAAACTAGCGGGTTGGGTTGATATTTTCAACCCATTTAATTTAAATGGGTCAACCCGTCTAACCAATTTAATTAAATAGGTTGGGTTGGATAAAAATTATCAACTCGTTTTTAACCCGTCAACCCATTTAACTTTATATATATATATATATATATATATATATATATATATATATATATATATATATATATATATATATATATATATATATATATATATATATATATATAATTTAATAATTATTTAAATATTATCATGTATTAGTCAAAGTATTAATTTGTAAATTATAATGTTGAATTATTATTATCTATGTTTAATAAAAGCCAATCCTAATTTTCATCTTTTTTTAGCGCCGATAATACTGATCACTCTCCAAAAGCACTGTGAAACCAAACATTTTCAATGTTATTTGAACAATTTATTTGTATTTATGATTAGGATTGTGCTTTAGTCATAATTATGAAGTTATATTTACGTTTTATAATTTAAGTGGTATAATATTTAATTATATAATTTATTTAATTGATTTTAAATGGGTTAACCCAAGTTTAACTCATTTATTTAATAGGTTGGGTCGGGAACTACATAAACAGATCAACCTGGTGACAACTCATTTATCTAAAAGGTTGGGTTGGGTTGGAAATATCAACCCAATTAAATAAACATGTTGGGTTGGGTTGAAATTTTCAACCCAATTATTAAATGGGTTGAACCCGAACCCAACCCAGGTCAACCCATTGCCACCTCTAGTCAAAATTAGTTGACGGAGGCTAAACGAAAATTGTAGATCCCGTCGATACCTACACGTGGATATAAAGAACGTAAAAAACGGAGTTTGTATGCGAAAGTTACGAATTTTAGAAGATAATTAGTTTTTGTAGTCAAAAGCGAGTGACACGTGGCGCAATCTGAGCCGCACCTTCTTCCCCACGACTTTGCACGAGATCGCGGCATATGACACATTACGCCAAGCGTAACTTTGAGTACGCTCAGCGTAACCCTTAAAAACCCATTACGCTCAACGTAATTCTTGAGTACGCTCAGCGTACTCATTGCTGGCAGCCTATAAAGAAGACGTTTTTAACTCTTTTTCTTACATCTCTTCACCCATTTCTCTCCCAAACACCCCCAAACCCTCTAAACCTTTCCCTAGCACCTTCTAGGTGTTTGTAGCGAGTCCCGGAGCGCCAGAAGGACCCGAGAAGAAGAGCTTTTGGCTAAGAAGTTCTGCCCGCGTAGAGCCCGGTTCCTCGCTAAACTTCCTTGTAAGTGAGTTATGCTTACCCTAATTTAAGTATAACTTATGTTTAAGTTAATTATCGTTATTATGAACCTATAAACAAGATTTATCAGTGATTCAAAGTCGTTATACTGATTGATCTACTTACGAGGATGATGTCTAGGCTGTGATTTAGTGAGGTGTTTAAAGTGGGATTTCCAAACAGTGTACTTCGTATACCAAACGGACCCTACCTCCGATATGATCCTACCTAGTTGTTCCTTACTTGATAGATCATGAAGTAGACTTTGAGTTAATGATAAATCTAGACTAATAATTAGTTGCAATAAATATTAGACTAAAATCTAGTAATAATGATACTATGTTTCGGCAAAGGAAAAGAAAATTGTTAGAAGCAAAGCGCTGGCCGGATTTCGAGTCATCACTTTAACAAGTGAGTGCATAGTTATTTTCATCTTACACATAGATATGAAATATTTAATATAAATTACGTGCTATGTGTGCATATTATCTGTGTTATTGATATCTATGGTGGATGAACAAAATATACATGTTTTATTCGATTTAAACTGTATATGTATTTTATACATATAATTATGTTGGGTAAAGATAGGTAGATGATATAGATGATGAAATATGAAACAAATGATGAGATGCCTTGATGTTTAAGCTGATCCAGTCATTTAGCTGGGTATAGATGACGACCACAAACTATTCTAGACAGTCTAGTGGAACGCTGGCAGGCTCGCAACATGTAGATGTTTTTGAACTACGTGTTCACCAGGTGTACTCCATCCCCCTCATGGTTTCCTTACTGACATATATTGCTGAGGAATCCCCTAAGTAGAATTGTCTTCCCGATGATAATCCTTAGGTTAGGTCCCTCAAATTAGATGCTTAGGGACAAAAAGGGAGGATAACGGGAACGGGTAATCGGGTTGAATGATTTGATGAAATTAAAGAACTTAATTATTGTGGGTTGAAAACCCTATGTGCTCACCAGGCTCCCAAGCCTGACCCACTCAGTTTCTTGTATTACAGGTAGTGGCGTAAGAGCACCAGTGTGATGATCAGATGTGAGAATTATGGATTATAGGCCAGTAGAATAATAGATGTTGTAAGACCTATGTTATTTCCGTTTATGCTTATGTACTGTATTGACGATGACATCTCAACGTTTTTAATATAATTAAAAATAAATTTCTTCGGAAATGCTTTGATAATATCTTTATCACATGTTTGGGAACAAATTCCGCAATATCATTCTTAAAAATGATACTCTTATTTTAAATAAAGCATAAACAAATCGGTCTTTTCTGGACGTGAAATTGGGGATGTCACATTATGGACAGTTCTGGAGGGTTTCCTAGGTTTCTGGAAACCTTCTGGTTGCATAAATGGAAAAGATTTGAATTATGATTAAATCTATTATTTAATTAATTCAAATCTTGTTTTTCCTGCAAGTTACATAAACTATAAATAGGATCCCTTGACTTGCAATTTTCGTTCACCACATTACCTAAAGGCATAGGAACAAAATTCCCTTCATAGCTCCTCTCTCCTCATCATTCTAGGGTTTCTGGTTTTAGGTGTGAGCCCTTAAAGACATCATATTTTTGGTGCTTGCTTTCCAAGGAACTTCAAGAGGATTTGATTTGATTATTTGTTATAATAATCAAAAGGCATGTAACCCTAATCTTTATGTTATTTTTGATTTTCATAGCCTCTCTCCAGGGTTGACGTTGACGTTGCATTGTATTGATGTTTCAATGATGTGGATAATTTTAGGAGTTTTTGGGATTGTTTTTACAACAAGAATAAGGTTTGTTATGATATTCATAGATGAATACCATTAATTAGATTGTCTCTATATAAGTGTCTCAAGTAGTGATACATTAAACCTCATTATACCCTCAAGCACCATCAACACCTTCTCCAACGTTGTTTGGTGTTGCATGACCTCTTGATTATTTCAGCAGGTACAATTGTGTGATATCCCTATTTATAGAGTTATCAAAGGAAATAACAGTTGAAAATATTGCTAATTTCTGTTGGCGAACTATATCTACTACGTACCATGTCTCTTGCACATTTTTATCCTTTAACGACCCTTCTCCATAAGCATATTATATTTCTTTCTCAAACCCAATTCTTTTACAAAGGGTTGAAGTTGCCATGATAGATAGGTTAAGAGGATTCTTAGTAGTGTAATTTTATGACTAAGCAAGTGTTGGTGTATGCTTATCGAAAGCTTATACCAGAAATGAATAATATGGGCAACATCATTAAAGTCTAGATTTAATATGTTCTTATGCATGTTTTAGAATACATAGTTTCTAGAATTTTCAAGTTTGGATGCGATGTTTTGATGTCTACATGCTTAGGGAGTTTAAACACATGGATCATATGCAATTATTAGAAGCATTAACTTTTATTTACGTGAAACATTTACTTAATACATAACCTGTGGGTTGCATTAACAACCATATTCAGTTTTAATTGATTGTTCTTTCCCCTTTTAAATCTATTCGTCATACTCGTTAGAATACTATATCTAACTCTCTCTCTCTCTCTCTCTCGTGCGTTCCTTTCTATCTCTTTGACTGTCTCTTGCATCCTTCTTTCAGCATGTCAAATAACACAAGCATCAAGAAAGACTACAAAATGTGAGGCGCTTTGTTTTTAGGAGCTTACAATGAGAAACTAAAGGTCCACAACATGTTGATGATTGGATAATAAAGATTTGCTTGAATCCGATCAACATGAAAAAGGGAAAAAACTTAACACAATAAGGGATGCAATTCAACACCTTACGAAGTCAGCCGTTTGGCAATCATATTTTATTTTGAACAAAACGGTACTGATAATCTTCTTAGTGAGTCTCTAGAAGAGGTTTTGGAATGCTTCGAATAAGAAAAAAAACATCTCAAAGGCATTTGTTTATGTTTATAAGAAAGTATAATATATTAATATGCTGAGAGGAAAATTAACAAAATAAAGAGTATTCTTTTATATATATTAAATATATAAAAACCATATTACCCGTAAATTTGGGGCCCCGAGCTTTCGTGAGGCCCTGGGCGAATGCCTAGCTTGCCTTTGCTCTAAGCCGACCCTGTTAATATGTAGGTAGTTAATCTCTTTGTTTGAATATACATAAATAAATATTTTTGTTTATGTATTATTTTGAAAAACAATATTTTAGAGTCTTCTAGCTATAAAGATATATAAGTATAAATACACATTTAAAAGGTCAAAGATTAAATGAGAACTTAAAAATTCAAAGAGCCTAAGACTTATTTTCGGGACAAGATGTTTCCATCAAAACACCACCAAATGTGCACATATGCACCATTTAGAAGATTTGGGCCAAAAAAATGAAAATAACGGATTTTTTGTGTGTGTGTTTGTATATATATATATCTATATATATATATATATATCTATATATATATATATATAATATATATATGTTAGGTTATTGTGTTCTAACTATCTATTGTGTGCATGTATGATTGATTCTGAACCAATCATTTCAGTTATTTTAAAAAGTAATTAATGCAGATTACATATTGAAGATATAATGAGTATTAATTAAATCTTCAGCATTTCATATGCATTAATTATTTTCTTAAAATAACTAAAATGATTGGTCGAGAATCAATCCTACATGCACACAATAGATAGTAGAAACATTTCAACCTAACTATATATATATATATATATATATATATATATATATATATATATATATATATATATATATCGGGGTGAGAACGGTTGAAAACACATATTTTCCCGAGAACCCGAGAACTAAAAGTGGAGCGTTGGATAAAAAGTAATTCATTAAGGACATGATCGTCATCTTACCAATCTCATTTAATGTTTAAATTTTTTGTGTTATTTAATATATTAATATAAATGTCTAAAAATTTACACCATAAATCAAATTTTCAGACTTTTTTTAAATATAGTATTTTTCGTTTTTTTTTTTAAATGCAGATTTTTTAAATTTTTATAGAAAACATGAATTTTTGAAAAAAATATTTTTTTTTAAAAAACTGTAACTTTTTCAAAAAACTGCATTTTTTCAACAAAAGTTACATTTTTTTCAAAAAAAAAACTACATTTAAAAAAAACTGTAATTTAAAAAAAAACTGCATTTTTTTTTAAAAAAGTAAATTTTTAGGTGCATATATGCATATTTTTTCAAATGCATATATCTATATTTCTTATACTATAATATTCGTAAGTAAATTACAAAAAATCTCATTTTTATTAATTAATCTATAAACATAATAGTACAAGTATTTTATTCGATACAAATTAAAATATAAAAAATAAAAAATGCTACAAATTTCCAAGCGTTTTCATGTCTTCGTGTCAATATTTCCTTATTTTCTTCAATTTATCATTTTTCACATCTTCAATATTCACCACAATTTCTTCCAAATCTACAAGAAAATTAAACAAAAAAACGATTGATGCAAAAACACTCACAAAAATACATATGTGATTTTCATGTGATTAACATATTAGTCACATGCGATTCACATATGAATCACATGTGATTCACATATGAATCACATGCGATTCACATGTGATTTACATGTGAATCACATATGATTTACATGTGGATCACATGTGATTTACATGTGAACCATATGTGATTTACTTGTCAATCACATGTGAATTACCTGTGATTTACATGTGAATCACGTGTAAATGTGATTTACATGTGAATCATATGTGACCAACTTGTGATTTACATGTGAATTACAGGTTATTCATATGTGAATTACATGTGATTTACATGTGAATCACGTGTAATTGTGATTTACATGTGAATCACATGTGATTCATATGTGATTTACATCTGAATCACGTGTAATTGTGATTTACGTGTGAATCATATGTGATTCATATGTGAATTACATGTGATTTACATGTGAATCACATGTAATTCATATGTGATTTATGTTATTCAGGTTTATCGGGTGTTTCATTTCATTTACCAACAAAAGGAATGAATTAATCCAGACAAATGAAGAGAGAGATATATAACCATCGAACAGCTAAAACATGATGAGCAGATGGAAGCCTCCAAATAATCAGCAAAATAACACTACAAACATAATAAACGATCTAACTAACCACTCTTGATTGTGATACAAAAACCAAAATTGAGTAGGCAGAAAAACAGCAGCCAACTATGAATTAAATCTTACTCCAACCAACATTTACAACTGAACTGATCATCATAAAGATGTTATTCTCAGATCCTAATTTATCCGGCCTATGGATGTTCATATTACAGCAAATCATAATTTATCCGACCTATGGACGTTCCCAAACATAGAAGATACTAGAAAAAAGAACCTGGAACCGCTTTCACCAGCGTGATAATGCAGCAACTATTGAGGCCTCTGGTGTTTTGCTTGTTGTTAGATCCTTTAAATCAGATTTCTACAAATACATTATTAAGTCACTATGATAAGTCCATTAAGTCAAAAAGAAAGAGAATGGAATCAATCCAAATCATAATCTATACCTGGATCTTTTCAACCACATCTAAAATTGAAAGACAATGGCTACCCTCGAGTGAAAGAACATGAAAAGTTGCGTATTTAACAGTGCCAGGTGTCAACCTATGCCTAGACCTTCTATTGGAGAAACCCCTCTCTTGCATTATGGCCAACGCTTTTTCAACTGCCACACCACTTCTTAAATTTGAAATTATATCTCCACCATCAACACCCTGCACTTGCAAATACCCATTTATCAAGTTATGATTTTGATTTTGATTTCATGATAGAAATGTTTCTTGATAAAACTAGATTTCAAAAAGATAACAATTTAGGAATTAGGTCATAAAAAAGATAGTTCCAAACTAAAAATAGTGTTATGATTTATCAAAATCCCACCTGTGCTGAAAGGCGTGTTCTTACAAGATCCAAAGGGTATGTGACAGAAGCAGCTAAGCTAAACCACCACCTGCAAGGCGTATACACAAGTCTGCACTTAATATTTGTCCCATTGCTCTTTACATAGACAAACATGGTATACAATCGCCACAAACATATAAGCTTCTGAAAGGGTAATTAGTAATGTGTGTATTTGGCTATTTAAAAATGAAAAAGAGAAACTCATTACACAAAACAAAAGTCACCAAAAATTGAGCAATCAATGCATGAGAATGATCCCATAGACATTCTCAAAATCTGAATTCATTCAAATTGTTAATAAAAGTTTCCTTGATAATATATGCTCTATTTCTTTGTTTTCTTTTTACATAAATTGCAAAGTTTGATAGGGTCCACCAAATAGCTAATGAAGCCTTATATTTTGAACATATCTTGCTATTAAATTTCAATTGAAAGGCTTTGAATATAATCATCTAAAAACAAACTAATTGCACCAACTTACTATTTGTCCAAAAGATTCAGGATGCCAGACTCTCCAACTTTGCAAGCTGCAACAGATAATAATCTGTTAAAAATTTTGGACTCGCTCTATTGAAAGATTCCACAATAAAAGCTTTTTCTATGTAAAAGCTCTTTGAATTTGACCATGCCTTTGCTTCATTGACTATACGTGTTGCTTCAAGCCATATACTGGCTTTTCTTAACGTAGAAGCATCAGAATGCATACCTTGCACCTGTAGAATCAAGAAATTACAGCTTGAGATACATGAGCTCTGATTAATTTTCGATTTCCAATATATTTCCCAAATCAATCAACAATAAGTCTTTGACCTGATTAAAGTGTATGAAATATACAAATTAAGAAGGATATAAAAGAAAACCTGAAAAAGTATAGTGACGCGAGCTAGAGGTGCAATGTAGGTCTTGCTAACGGCTCCGGCAACACCACCGACTATGAGCTGAGACACCGTCCCTACCTAAGATTGCTGCTGTTGCACCGACCTCTGGTGATGCGTTACCAATTTACGAGCGGGTCCACCACCTTCCACCACCCCCACCGTCGCTTCCGTTTGCATATTTAATCTGAGAGTTCATCCCAAAAGTATACATAAAATCTCTAGTGTACAAATCGAAGAAAAACCGAAAATGTTAAAGCTAATTTTGGATAAAACATGCGCGTACTTGAGGTTTGTTTGTAAAATTACAAAACCCTAGCAGATGACGATCTTGCTTCTCCGATGAATCACGAAGCTTGGGTTTGAAAAGCTTGGAGATAACAAGATACAAATCGCGAGGTCCAGAATTAGGGAACGATCGATTTAGGGCTTCGCCTATCGCAATCAAAAATAAACACGAACGACGACGATTGAGGGTGGAGGGAGACAATCGATGAGAGATTAAGGATTCGACTTCACTATATAAGTAATGTTCGGTTAATCTCTGTCGATTTTGGGCATCTGACTCACTGGAAACACATATTTGGTTAAACCAGATGTCGTCAACGATATGGAGATAATCGAATATGGATGGCCATAGGTGAGACGGCCGGAGGCGGGATGAAAGAGTGTGTGTGTGAGAGAGAGAGAGAGAGAAAGAGAGAGATATATACGAGATGCAGGGAAAGAGTATAAGCATATTGTTTAACCATCTCAATCTGATTCAATGAGTTAATTATTTATCCAAAAAATGTCTCTGGTCCATTTTTAAGGTACCCCCGCCTATTTATTTCTAATTATTTACAAACTGCCACAAATCATCTTGACCTTCAATTATTTGATCTAACGACTCTGTTGGTTCCGGGTTCTCGAGAATATATGAGTTCTCAATGATCCTTTCTCTCTCCTCCTCTATCGCTCTCTCTCTCTCTCTCTTCTCCTATTATATCTATATATATAATATATATATATATATATAAGATGTTTTTTCGCTTTTTTTTTCAACCGAGTCTTGGTGCATATGTTCACCTTTAGAGGTGTATTGATTGAAAAATATACATTGTGAACTGTAACATCCAAAAATTTTACGCCAAATTTAAACTTTTTCAATCATAAATAAAACCAAATAGTAATTGTTTACAAAATGTTTTCAATCATTATTCATCAGAGTGTCCCAATAACCAGATCATAAGGATGAGGAGCGGTACGGTCACGCCTTCGCCTTGCCATGATCTCCTGAAGTACCTGAAACAATAAACTGAAAACTGTAAGCCCGAGGGCTTAGTGAGCTACCCCCAAAATACCAATACCCCACTAATAATACCATATCCGTAATAATCGATCAATCATCATGCATACTGGGCCATCGGCCTGACTGGACCGCCCTACAGGTCCTACAGTCTAACTGAATCTATACCGAGCCTTCGACATGACTGGACCGCCACGTGGGCCTACAGTCTCCCCGGACCGCTCATAGGGTGTGTTGGCCTTCAGCACAAAGCAGGACCGCCTCAACCCAAGCAACAAGCAAATAACCATGTGCGCATAACTAACATTTACTGACATATACAAACATCGAACATATCTATCTCACTGATTACCAAACATAGCAATCCCTCATAACTAGAGAACTGACCTAGCAGGTTACTAACATATCAATCCCTACGGATCATAAAAGCATAACATACTGTCTATCCTGATTCCGATCTAACAGATCATATCCACATGTAGCATACCATAACAATAACAACTAAAGGGCCGACCTTGGTGCCTTAGACCCTATCGATATAGTGAGGATAACTCACCTTGCAGATGTCGACTCGGTAGATAAACTTCAACCCTCGGATCACTGCCACAAACTCCACCACCTATTACCATAGTATGAACATACCCATAAGTCCTCAACCTTACAAGGTACTCCATAAACCTACTAGTCAACCCTTGGTCAAAGTCAAAGTCATCAGTCAAGGTCAACAGTCCATGTTGACCTTGACTCGTCGAGTACCCTCGGCTACTCGCCGAGTTCCTTGAAGTACTAACCCACTCGCCGAGTCACCTGGGTGACTCGTCGAGTTCCTTCGGTTTACGATCGAGACCCTAAGGCCACTCGTCGAGCTTCCTTCTTGCAACTCGACGGTTATACACACATACATAAATTGGGGAAACCTCAACCGACTCGCCGAGTTGTTCATCCACTCGTCGAGTCTACGGCAATCTTCATTGGACTCGTCGAGTTGTTCTTCCCACTCGCCGAGTTCATGCCTATCTTCATATGACTCGCCGAGTCAACCATGCGACTCGCCGAGTCCCTCCAATCCTTTTTGCCATACAGACTCATTTGAGCCATGCAGCGGCTCCAAACTACAGATCCAAGCTTCTAAGGCATGCTTTTCACGTAAAGTTGCAAACTTTAGGTGCATGCATAGCTACAAAGGCTCTTAATGTCAAATCCAAGCTTACAATGGGGGTTTCATACTCAAAGAGGCTTCATACATGACCAAATTCGGAGATTTATGACTCTAGGACCCAAGAAGGGTACATATCTGAAGTTACAATTTTAGATCTAACTCATATCCCACATTACCATCTCAACCAAACCATAAAAACCCTAGATCTCAACCACAAGAGGTCTAGAAGGAATTAAAAGGTGACGACTTGATACCTCCAAATGATGCTATCTGAGGTAGATTTCTGATTTCCCACACTTCCTTGCTCCTAGGGCTTTTGTTCTCCAAGCTCTTCTTCTCAAAAGATCTCCTCTCCAAAGCTTTAGACACACAAGAGTGAAGCACCACACGAATTAGGGTTTTTTGAGCTCTCAAAGGACTGCCAAGAGGCCAAAGGAGGCTTATGCTTCCTTAAATAGGGTGCAAAACCCTGTGATTTAGGGTTTCATCTGCCAGCTCCTACTCGTCGAGTCCCTTCATGGACTCGGCGAGTAGGCCACTAAATACGCGAACCAACCCGCTGCTACTCGACGAGTAGGGCAACAACTCGTCGAGTAGGCCTTGAAACCAATTAAATTCTTATTTAAACAATACCTGAGAATCGGGGCGTTACAATTCTCCCCCACTTGAACTAGACTTCGCCCTCGAAGTCTGCTGGAATAAACAACGCCGGGTAATGCTCTCGCATTTCCGCCTCCGGCTCCCACGTCCACTCGGATCCTTTCCGATGCTCCCACTGCACTTTTACCAAAGGGATTTATTTGTTCCGAAAAATCTTCTTCTTCCTTTCCAAGATGGCTACAGGCCTCTCCACGTAATTCAGACGCTCATCGACCTGAATATCATCCAGCGATACTACTGCCTCCTGATCCATAATACACTTTCGCAATTGCGAAACATGGAACGTGCTATGAATTCGGCTGAGCTCCTCCGGTAGCTCAAGCCTATAAGCCACTTTGCCAACCCTGGCAATAATCCTGAATGGCCCAATATAACGGGGACCCAATTTTCCCCTCCTCCTGAAGCGGATCACACCCTTCCAGGGCGAGACCTTCAGAAGTACCATGTCACCAACCTGAAACTCTAAATCCGATCGGCGTCTATCAGCGTAACTCTTTTGCCGACTCTGAGCGGTCTGCAGCCGCTGTCTGATCTGCTGGATCTTTTCGGTAGTCTGCAAGACTACCTCCGTCCGACCCATCACTCTGTGTCCAACCTCACCCCAACAGACCGGGGTTCTACATCTCCGACCATACAACAGCTCAAAGGCGCGACGCCAATACTGGAATGATAGCTGTTGTTGTAGGCGAACTCTGCAAGCGGTAGATGGGAATCCCAGCTCCCACCGAAATCAATGATGCACGCCCTCAACATATCTTCGAGGGTCTGAATGGTTCGCTCACTCTGTCCATCGGTCTGCGGATGGAACGTTGTACTAAAGTGCAGCCGCGTACCCAGTTCCTCATGGAACTTCTGCCAAAAACGGGAAGTAAACCTGACATCCCGATCGGAAACAATGGAGACTGGAACCCCATGGCGAGAGACAATCTCGCTGACGTACATATCGGCCAATCTCTCGGCCGACGAACTCTCCCGTATGGCCAAGAAATGGGCACTCTTGGTCAACCGATCCACGATGACCCATATAGCATCGAACCCCTTCGCCGTCCTCGGCAATTTCGTAATGAAGTCCATCGTGATCTGTTCCCATTTCCACATGGGAATCTCCAGAGGCTGCAGCTTACCATGCGGCCTCTGATGCTCGGCCTTGACCATTCTACAGGTCAGGCACCTCTCAACATACCAAGCGATTTCTCGCTTCATACATGGCCACCAGTAGCTCAAACTCAAATCCCGGTACATCTTGGTGGCCCCCGGGTGTATAGAAAAGTGAGACTTATGAGCCTCCTCCATCACTGTCTGCCGGAACCCTCCGGACATCGGAACCCAAACCCGACCGTGTCGAGTCAATAATTTGCGGCTATCCTGAACAAACCGGGTGCTCTCGCCCTTAATCCGCTCCAACTTCCAGTTCTCTGGTCTCATGCCCTCAACCTGAGCATCCCTAATCAAACTCACAAGCGGGGAATCCACCGCTATCCTCATACACCTTGCTGGGGTAGTAGACCCAGCTGACTTGCGGCTCAAAGCGTCCGCAACCACATTCGCTTTACCAGGATGGTAAAGGATCTCACAATCATAGTCCTTGACTACATCCAGCCACCTGCGCTGCCTCATATTCAGGTTCGGCTGATCCATGATGTGCCTCAAACTCTTGTGGTCCGTGTATATAGTACATCGGACCCCGTACAGATAATGCCTCCAAATCTTGAGAGCGAATACCACCGCTCCCAACTCAAGATCGTGCGTAGGGTATCTCGTCTCATGCGGCTTCAGCTGCCGCGATGCATAGGCTATCACCTGTCCCCTCTGCATGAGGACCGCCCCCAGACCTGTGATGGACGCATCACAAAATACTACGAAATCCTCGACTCCCTCGGGGAGCGTCAACACTGGCGCCTCACATAAACATCGTCGGAGGGTCTCAAACGCCCTCTGCTGCTCAGGGCCCCACCGGAAATCCACCCCCTTCCTCGTTAGACGAGTGAGGGGTACTGCAATCTTGGAAAAATCTCGAATGAATCTCCGGTAGTACCCTGCTAATCCCAAGAAACTCCTGATGTCTGAGGGAGA